CGCTCAGATCACAGCATAATAGAGGTACAGACATGTATGCACAGGGTTCCTGACCAGCAAAATGTGATCAGTCATGAGGGTATCTTCACAAAATTCAACTTCAGTAACAAAAACATACAGTGGGAACAAATCAACCATGTCCTAAATGAAACAAGCTGGGAAGATATCCTAACCAACATGGATCCGAACCTTTGCCTACAAAAAATTAACTGTTGTTCTTGAGGTCTGGTCAAGGCACATTCCATTAAAAAAAAAAGGAAAGAGAAAATGTAAACTAGAAAGAGAAAGACTCCCTTTACAGACGAAGGCGAAGAATCACAGAGCTGCTGAGAGGGGCCAATGTATGTGAAATACAAAGGGAGGCATTGATCAGAGAAATAGCAAATATGAACTTAAGGTGAAGGAATCTTACAGGAGACAAGAATCTCAGAAAGAACTAAAAGCCATAAAGGAAATTGAAAAAAAAAAGTACTTCTTCTCTTATGCCAAATCTAAGTGAAAAACAACATCTAGTATTGGGCCCCTGCTTAGACGAGATGAGACATATTCAAAAGACAGCCAAGAAATGAGTGAGATACAAAAGTCTCAATACGACTTGGTGTTCAGCGAGCCGTTACCCAGACTAAAGGTCGACAGTCGAAATGAATTCTTTATGAACGAGATCCAAAATTTGGTCATCTCAAAAATCTCTGATATTATCCTAACACCACAAGACTGAAAAGGCAATAAATGACATGCCCATGCACTCTGCTCCAGACCCAGACTCGTGGAACTCAAGTGTTCATCAAGAACTATGGAGGGAGCATGGACACGGGTCATCCCACGCTCACTAAAAACAAGAGACATAGCCCCACTCTACAAAGGCGGCAGTAAAGCAATAGCAAAGAACTACAGACCGATAGCACTAACATCCCATATCATAAAAATCTTTGAAAGGGTTCTAAGAAGCAAGATCGCCAACCACCTAGATACCCATCAATTACACAACCCAGGGCAACATTGGTTTAGAGCAGGTCACTCCTGCCTGTCGCAGCTACTGAACCACTATGACAAGGTCCTGGATGCTATAGAGGATAATCAAAATGCGAATGTGTGCAGACTTTGCAAAAGCCTTCGACAAGTATGACCACAGTGTAATAGTGCACAAAATGCGTGATAAAGGAATAACAGGAAAAGTTGGTAGATGGATCTGTAACTTCCTAACAAATAAAACACAGAGTAATAGTAAACAGTAAAGTCCGAGGCAGCTACGATGAAAAGCTGTTCCACAAGGCACAGTACTCGCTCCCATCCTATTCCTCATCCTCATATCTGACATAGGCAGTGATGTAAGCTATAGATAGCTCCTTGTCATCCTTTGCGGATGACACCCGAATTGCTATGCCAGCGTCCTTCATCGAAGACACCGCAAAACTCCAAGCGGACATCAACCAAATCTTCAAATGGGCCACTCAAAACAATATGAAGTTCAGTGAAAAGAAATTTCAACTACTAAGATATGGAAAACTTGAGGAAATTAAAACTGTATCAAGGTATACAACAAATTCTAACCATACAATAAAGCAAAAAAGTATGTGAAGGACCTTGGAGTGATAATGTCAGAGGATCCCGTCTTCAAAGACCACAACATTGTATCTACTGCATCTGCTATTAAAGTGATAGGATGAATTATGAGAACCTTCAAAACTAGGGACGCCAAGCCCATGATGATTCTCTTCAAATCACTTGTTCTCTCGAGGCTGGAATACTGCTGTACACTAACTTCCCCCTTCAAGGCAGGCGAAATTGCTGACCTGGAGAGTGTACAAAGAACTTTCACGGCACATAAGTACGATAAGGCACCTAAATTACTGGGAACGGTTGAAGTCCCTTGATTTGCATTCCCTGGTACGCAGGCGAGAGAGATACGTGATAATATACACTTGGAAAATCCTAGAGGGATTAGTACCAAACTTGCACACGAAAATCACTTCCTATGAAAGCAAAAGACTCCGCAGGAGATGCAACATTTCCCCAGTGAAAAGCAGGGGTGCCGCGAGTACACTGAGAGATACAATAAGTGTCAGGGGCCCAAGACTGCTCAGCTGCCTCCCAGCATACATAAGGGGGATTACTAATAAACTCCTGGTTGTCTTCAAGAAGGCACTGGACAGACACCTTTAATTAATTAAGTCAATACCTGACCAGCCGGGCTGTGGTTTGTACGTCAGTTTGCGCGCGGCCAGCAGTAACAGCCTGGTTGATCAGACCCTGATCCACCACGAGGCCTGGTCTCAGACCGAGCCGCGGGGGCGTTGACCCCCGAAACCCTCTCCAGGTATACCCTCCGTACCTCCCTCTTGTTTATTTCGCCTCTACCCCAATGGAAATAAGTCACTGACTTTTTTTTTTTTGGTTATCCCAGGTTTTCTACACATATGTTGCTACGTATAAGCTATGTAACTGTATATGTGTATACCTGAATAAACTTACTTATTTACTTACTTTGTATACAATCCCTCTTCCGTTTCGTACCATACCTCTATTGTCACTCTCTTCCCCATTTTTCCTCCCACCCCTCCCTAGTTCTGCTTCCTGCGCTTCCATCCTTTCTTTTTTCCTTTCCTCCCATCCTTCCCTCTAGAACAATAATACGAAAAGAACTTCAACTGAATTTTATGGACTTAAGGCTCAGGGAGATTGACACCAGTGAGTCCATCTATCATCATTCTATCATGCAGGAGGAGCCACATGTCTATGGTGCATCCAACAAAATAAGCAGACTCTTGGTTGTCACTACTGCCCGGCTCCGGCTGGGTTACAAGTATCTTTGGCAGGTTAAATCACCACCACCAGATGTAGACCAAACGGAATGTAAACTTTGCCAGATGGGCTATTGTCACACCCTGCGTCATTATGTACTGGAGTGCAATAAAATTAATGAATTTAGAAACAACTCACTCAGAAGTGTTCAAGAAATGGCTAAGTATTTTATCCACAGTGGTATATTACAGACCATTCTGGAGAAATACCCTGACTTTGCTAGCTGTAAGTAAAGCATTACCACATATGTGTGTGTGTGTGTGTGTGTGTGTGTGTGTGTGTGTGTGTGTGTGTGTGTGTGTGTGTGTGTGTGTGTGTGTGTGTGTGTGTGTGTGCACTCACCTAGTTGAGATTGCAGGGGTCGAGTCCAAGCTCTTGTGTGTGTTTGTGTGTGTTTGTGTGTGTGTTTGTGTGTGCGTGTGTATGAGTGTGTGTGTGTGTGTGTGTGTGTGTGTGTGTACTCACCTATTTGTGGTTGCAGGGGTCGAGTCCTAGCTCCTGTGTGTGTGTGTGTGTGTGTGTGTATGAGTGTGTGTGTGTGTATGAGTTTGTGTATGTGTGTGTGTGTGTGTGTGTGTGTGTGTGTGTGTGTGTGTGTGTGTGTGTGTGTGTGTGTGTGTGTGTGACTCAACAATCAATATTGCACCAATAACTCACTACAGTTGTGACCGGGTGTGGAAGTGTGAATTGCTCATTACTCTAAAATTTGTTCATGATTGTAGCCATGTATAAACGCAAGTAACCATTCTTACAGTATTCATTACCTTTGTAACTTGTGAGTTCATTACCTTGTACCTAGTTCAGCCATCAAAACTTTGGGGCCCAGTCCCTGGACCCATTGTGTACCTCTATAATCTGTTAATACCTTTGTAACTTGTCATGATTGTGACTAGACCTACCTGGAGTTCATTACCTTTGTAAATTGTGAATTCATTACCTCTGTAACTTGCTCAGCCATCAAAACTTTGAGGCCCAGTCCCTGGACCCATTATGTACCTCTGTAATCTTTTGACTACCGCCCACAGGATGGGTATGGGGTGCATAATAAACATATTAAACTAACTAAACCTTCCCTCCCATCCTTCCCTCTCTCCCACCTCTGGTGGGTAGGGGTTTTGGGGAATGGGGTGTGGGGGTGGTTAGGGTTATTGGGAATAGGGTTAAGGTGGTGGTGGTGGTTGTAGTAGCGGCAGAGATAGACGTCGGTCACTAAAATCCTCATGATGCAATTTTTTTTTCCCTGACTAATCCGTTCAAGGTGGAAGGGAGGGTGCCATGATGCTGGAGTTACATTTCCCTTCCTTACATCAAAAATTATACCTTTTCAGGCGCAGTATGGCACGTAGATGTTCAGCGCTTCCCCATAAAAATAATTATAGCGAAGCGAGGTACTCGTTTAAACTTTAAAAAGTGTGTAGTAAGGTACCCTTGATTAGTTGTTGACTGAGACAAGCAGGATTGTGAGCCACCCTGAGTCCTACACGTGTATATTCGGAAAAAAATAAATATATCTAAACATAGCTACCTAAATTTGGCAGCTTTGGTAAGTGTGGTGCGTGAGACGTTTATGGAAGAGCTGTAAGTTTTATTTGCTGTGTGGTAATGGATGTGTCTGGCAAGATGTAGAAATGTGTGACAGTTGAAACGAGTGACCGAAGGCAACTGCAGGAGGGACAGACCTGTACTCAGCATCTTAGTGATATCGTGGTGGAAGACCTCAGCTCTTAGTATAGTCTGCGACGTGCTGTACTCTGATCCACCCTGTGGTATTGTATATATATTCTCCACTTAAGTAGTGTATGTGGCGGGGAGGGACCGGGTTTGATTCCTGGCGGGGTGGAAACATTTCGACACGTTTCCTTATACCGGTTGTCCTGTTCACCTAGCAAGTAGGTACCTGGGTGTTAGTCGACGGGTGTGGGTCGCATCCTGGGGGACAAGATTGAGGACCCTAGTGGAAATAAGACAAACAGATCCTCGATGACCCACTGACTTTTTTGGGTTATCCTGGGTGGCTAACCCTCCTGGGTTAAAAATCCGAACAAAATCTTATCTTAACGAAGTGTACGGTGCTCCCTTCAAGGGGGATGCTGGTAAAGGTTTCATTATCCAAGGAGTTGAGGCTATCTTTTCATTCCTGGGATCATTTTGCTCATGTCCCAGGAATGATGATAATAATAATCTGGGTGTTGCCATAGTTACAGATGACGAACGTTCATCAGGAGGAGGAAGTGGTGGAGAGTATGTCGTGTGTGGTGTGTGAAGAGCCCTTTGACCCTGAGGTGCACCAGCCCGTGGCCCTCCCTACCTGTGGCCACACTTTCTGCAGGATGTGTCTCGTCAACCTCCAAGAACGCAACCCTACTCTCGTCTGTCCCACCTGCAGGTATGATCTGAAATGAACAGGGATTGTCATTATAGTTGTGACATTGCCTTGTCATATCTATTTTGGATCATCTGAATGGAGTGTATATCAACTTTCATATTTCATTTCATTCCTTTGGTTTACCACTCCGGTCAGTCTGCTGTAAAGAATTTTTTTCTTTTATGCTTGTGGCTCATTTGCTTGCTAATTGGCAGTTTTTTTTTTTTTTTTGCTCTTTTAAGTATTTTATCCACTTTTCCTCGTGTCTCTTTCCTGTATATTATTTTTTTTTTTTTTTGCAAAACTGCAGTAAAACAGTAGTTTAAACCTTTCACTGTCCAGACCCCCTAAATAAATATTGCTTTCAGTGTCCACATTTAAAAAAATTCTTGCTGAAATGGTAGAGACATTTTTTTTAAGGCAATGACACCAAAAATGCGAAATTTTATGGAAAACTCCGTTCTCTCGATTGAGCACGAAAAATCGCCCATATAACTATTGGAACTACCCTTCAAAGTGCACAGAAGTTGGTAATTTGGTCAATTTTACACAAAAAAATAAAAATAGTTAAAATAAACAACGTATGCCTTTCAGGCACTAAAATAACATTTCCTTTGTTAATTAATAATGTCTCCAGGCCTCTCCTATATTACAATTACCTTCCATTTTGAATGTATTATCACAAAAAAAAAATAAAAGATTTTCTCTGTTTCTCAGATAATAAAATGTAATCAGGAATAATGTAATCAGACCTATTAAAAACCCATAAAACAGACTGGGGGGGGGGGATGTAGAGGGGCCTCAGGAAAATCTGCAAAAATTAAATATTTATGCTACTTTGAGCCTAATTTCAATCTACTCTGGTCTTGAAACCAACCAACGTTATCTCTGTTTCAGTAGTATATCTTCCATTCCATCAAATAATAACAAGAAACTGCCAGTTTAACCATAAAAATCGTCCTAGAAAACATTACAAAGTCACTATTTTAAATCAAACACAAGGTCATAGTTTTGCTTTTTCCATCATGCACTGGGTTGAGTAGGATTTTTTTATTCATTTTATCTCTAGGCCACAGTTTACTGCTCACAGCTTATCTGAGGGAGCTGTGCTCAAAAAATGACGGCCACTCAAAGGTTAAGTGATCTCTGTACCTTTTTTTTTTTTAAATGTTGGTACAATACACACCCTCTTCCATTTGTTCACCAGTTTACCCAGGATGTGCAGTTAACAGCAAAGGCAGCTGATGGTAGTAGTGGTAGAGGGTTATGATAGTCATAACAGAATTGGTATATGTAGAACCATTGGTATACGGCTCTCTTGAGTGGCAATGGAGTAACAATACTAGTTTGGTAGAGGTACTGTTGTAGCCGATGCCTTCCATGCAGTCCATCTCCTGTAAATTCCATGCCATTTTTTTCAATGTGGTATAGCATATTTTCCCCTGTTTTTATGTTGGCTGTTGCCAAAGGGAATAGAGGATGGGGAGAGCCTTCTGCTTTTCTATCCTTGACTTGTACACCTAAATAATATTCACTAGTCCTTAATCTGCATAGAAGTAGATAGTACTTCTCAGCATGTAGTCTTGGTGAACACTTTTAAGTCCTCTGCCTGTACTATTATAATCTGCAGTGAAATAAAAACAAAAATGAATAGATAACTATATTCTCCTGCATATTCTTGTCTGGCCCTATTGTTTTTTTTCTTGTTACCATGCAGTGTGTAGTAACTTATGTTCTTCCTTCAAAGTTTATTCTCTGTGAGGATTACAATGCTGAATTTACAGAATTTGGTTATTGTGTGGTTTACATGTAGTAAAATAATGATTACAGAGTGTACCACTAGAACACCTAGCATGGCTAGGCATTTCGGGCAGACTTAGTTTAAATCTTAATTTTAAAATATTACAAATTATGAGGTAAGTTGGTATTATGGCTAAGTGACTAAATACTAGTTTGTGAGTTTAGCAATGTGAATGCTTTTGTTTTGGCACAGTACATAGTTTCAGTATTGGAGTATCACAGGATTCATTATTTTAAGATTGAGATTAATATTTCTGTTTATAGTCAAATGGGTGAGTGAGTGTAAGTGTGAACCACCAGGTGGTATTCGTGTAGTTAGTTGACAGGGTGTATCAGGGAGATAAGATGTTTTCTAATGGTAGTTTTGAAGGTGATGAATGTGTCTGCAGTTCTAGAGTTCTCAGGTAGGGTGTTCCAGATTTTAGGGCCTTTGACATACATTGAATTTTTGTAAAGGTTTAGTCGGACACGGGGAATGTCGTAGAGATGTTTGTGTCTGGTGTTATACCTGTGGGTTCTGTCACAGCTATCAAGAAAGCGTTTTAGGTCAAGGTTGATATTGGAGTTTAAGGTCCTGTAGATGTAGATTGCACAGTGGTAAGTGTGGATGTACTGAACAGGGAGTAAGTTTAGATCTATGAAGAGTGGGGGGTGTGTTGCCAGGGATGGGATTTAGTGATTATTCTTACTGCAGCTTTTTGTTGGGTTATTATTGGCTTTAGGTGTGTTGCTGCAGTTGATCCCCAAGCACAAATAGCATAGGTGAGGTATGGATAAATAAGTGAGTGGTATAGTGTGAGAAGGGCATTTTGCGGCACGTAGTATCGTATCTTGGAGAGGATCCCAACCGTTTTGGATACTTTTTTGGTTATGTGTTGGATATGGGTGCTGAAATTCAGGTTGTTGTCAAGGTATAGGCCTAGGAATTTGCCCTCATTATGTCTGGTAATTAGAGTGTTGTCGATCTTAATGTTAATTTGTGCATCTCCTGCTCTGCTACCGAACATAATATAGTAGGTTTTGTCAGTGTTAAGCGTAAGTTTATTGACTGTCATCCAAGTCGATATTTTGATCAGCTCCTCGTTAACAATGGTGTTGAGGGTGGCAAGATTAGGGTGAGAGATGACATAAGTCGTGTCGTCAGCAAAGAGAATGGGTTTCAGGTGTTGGGATACGTTTGGAAGATCATTGATGTATATGAGGAAGAGCAGGGGACCAAGGACACTTCCCTGCAGAACTCCAGTATCAAGTGGCCGTATTGTTGATGCTGTGTCTTTAATGGTGACATACTGATACCTATTAGTAAGGTAAGATTTGAAATAAGCAAGCGCATGGCCTCGTATACCGTAATGGTCAAGTTTGTGGAGTAGGATGTCGTGGTCTATTGTGTCAAAAGCTTTTCTTAGGTCAATAAAAATTCCTAGTGGATATTCCTTATTTTCCAATGCTGTGTAAAGCAGATCTAGCATTTTTGATTGCATCATTAGTGCTTTTATTTTTCCTGAATCCAAATTGGCAGGGGTTGAGTATGTTTTGTGTCGTTATAAATGAATATAGTCTCCTGTGCACGAGTTTCTCAAAGATTTTGGATAGCAATGGTAAGTTTGATATTGGCCTATAGTTGTTTAAGTCTGTAGGGTCACCACCTTTATGTATTGGTGTAACCCTTGCCATCTTGAGTAGTTTCGGGAAGGTGCTAGTTTCTAGTGACTCGTTAAAAAGCAATGAAATAGCATGCGAAAGGACATGGGCCGCTCGCTTGTACAGTAATGGTGGGACATGAGACAGATTCCCTGAGTTATTTTTAAGTGACTTTATAACTCGGTGACTTCCGTGGGCTCAGTTGGTGCAAGATAGAAGGAATTTGGGAAATTCCCATCTAGGTAGTCCCCGGCATGGGCATTGGTATGTGGGATTTTATTGGCGAGATTAGATCCTATGGTTGAGATGAAGTCGTTTATCTTGTTAGCTGTGTCAGTGGGATGTAGTGGTGTTTCATTAGGTTTAGTTAGGACAATATTCTTGTTTTTTTTTCAGTTTGTGGGTCCCTAGAATCTGAGAGTGTTTTCCAGGTCTTTTTTATATCTCCTTTAGTGTCTGTGAATCTACTGGAGTAGTATAGTTGTTTGGCTTTTTTTATTACTTTGGTGAGAACTGATGAATAGTGTTTAAGAATATCTTTGTGTATTAAGCCCTGTCTATATTGCTTTTCATATTGGTGTTTCTTGTCAGTGGATTTCAGAATGGTGCTGGTTAGCCATGGGCAACCTTATTGATTATTTCATTATCCTAAACTTCGTAACAGAAAGTGATGAGATTGAAGTGGCATGGTGTACATTTTGAGTATGCAGTGCTAGCATGTGCAGTAGAGGCAGGTGGTTTATGAAAGGGTGAGTGCAGGCAGGATGTGATCCTTTCAGCAATATATAATGTCAAAAAAAATCTTGAAACCTGTTTTCATTTCTGTCTAGTTCTTCTTATTCCAGCTTTTTTTCAACTCTCCTTTATCACAAATGGGCATGTACTATCCTGCCATATTTTGTTATTAATTGAAGGAACTAGTATCACCCCCTGCCAAACTTGGCAATTATATCTTGTTGTAATTGCACATAAGTGTTGCCCATGATGCTATGTATTCTATGGGTCTTCAGTTTATTTTGTTCTTTGCAGTAATTTTTTTTGTTTTGTTTTTCAACAAGTCGGCCGTCTCCCACCGAGGCATTAATATGTGTATTTATTATTTTATGAATAAACTTGTATCTGTTTTTAACTTCATATTAATGCTATGCATTAAACCCATAAATATAAAAAATAAAACCATGTTAATTTTAAGCATAGTATAGGTTAAGTTTTGCCCAAAATGCAGTGCATCCTATGGGCCTTCAGGTTACTGTATGTTTTATTCAGTACGTAATTTTGAAATAAAGATTTGTATTTGTGCTTCATTCAAACTCAAATTCAAATTCATATATTTATTTCCTTGTAAAGCTTACAATGTGTGGTTTATATGTTAAAAAAATTTTAATTACAAAGAAGGCTAAGTACAAAGATAGCCACTATCATGCCAAGGGATGTTACTTGGTCAGTCGTGGCTGCCATTTAGATGGGTGAATCTTATTTAAGAGAACCTTGACAAGTCACTGCCTCTGTATATCCAGACCCATATCTGAATGTAATATTTTCTTCGTAATGCTTCAGGCAACCACATGCAGGAGAGGATGCATCATGTCTGCCCACCAACTTTTTAGTGTTGAATCTCCTGCCAGACATTTCAGAGGTCAGTGTACTCTTTCAAAAGTCACATTCCTACTTAAGTAAAACATTGGACATTAACACCATATACTAGCTGAGGAGTGTTGGTACCGCCAGTGATGAAGGGTGTCTATTGCCATCTAATGGCATGTCTGTCTGTGATACCCACAGAAAAATAAATAGAGGTCTATGTTTCTGTATTGATGCTCTAACCCAATGGTCAGCGAACTTTTTTGTGTATTACCCCAAAACAAATTCATGTACAGTGAAATTACCCACTAGACTTAAAATTATTTGTTTGAAAAAATATAACTTTCATAATTTGCATTGCTTATTAAAGAGTTTCATCTTTACCCCATTTGGGTAATTTACCCCTGTTCCCTGACCTCTGACTTCTAACCCAACCAAAATTATATGATGTCTAGTGTGTTGATGTTTCAAACTAACTAGTAAATGTTATCCAGGGTTGTTAATGATGTCTACCTTGTTATGAACAAGGTAATATAGTACTGACAGATATATAAAAAAAAATCACTTGTGTACTGTGAGGTAATTTTGTTAAGGAAATGTTTCACCCAATGGGGTTTATCACTCCAGTACAGAGATACAAAAAGCAGGGAAATATATGGTAGCATGGAAATCAGTTGTAGTGTCGCTGGGGTGCATATTGGCTAATGATGTCACCTGATAGCTTTGTATTGATCTCTCAAATGCTGGGTTCATGTAAAATTGCTAAATTCACAGAAATTGTATTTACCAAACTTAGTGAACCCCCATTCATATTGCTAATGCCATAAATCAGCTTAATGACTTCTCGGCTATAGGGACTAAACTTTCCAGCAAAATCACAAACTTTCTCATGGCAGAGGTAACCTCAACAATGAATGCACTAAAAAACATAGCAGGTAATAAAGTGAGTATACAGTACCACCATTTATGTATAAGAAAGCTGCCCATGTTCTATCTCCAGTCATTGTAACCCTGTTAATAAATCTCTTGAAACCAAAACTTTCCCCTAAGAATAGAGATTACAATACAAATAAAATGGAACAAGATATGTACCAATTATATATGGGAGTTGAAGGAAGGTTACAAGAACAGGGAGAGAATTGGATGAAAGCTGGTTTTGTTTACTGTAACGTATTGCTGTCTTTATTACATTGAAAGATGAAGTGCTTTTTAACAATAGCTCTTAATCGATTGGTAGATAGGGAACCTTTTGATGCTTCAGGCAGGGAGGTCCAGATCTTAGGGCCTTTTATGTACATTGGGCTTTTACACAGGTTAAGTAGGACTCAGGGGATGTCAAAGAAGTTTTTGTGTCTTGTGTTATCCCTGTGTATTCTGCTGCAGCTATCAAGGAAAAGGTTTCAGAGAAGGGATTATATTCGAATTGATTGTCCTATATCCATACCAGGCACAGTAATATAAATGCATATTGTGTATATTAAGTAAGTTCAAGCTTTTGAAGAGTGGAGGAGTATGTTGTCTGGCACTGGAATGGGTAACTGTCCACACAGCTGTATTTTTTGTTGAGCTACTGCTGGTTTTAGATGATTTGATGATATAGATCCCCAGGCACAGATACCATAGGTGAGGTAAGGATAATTTAGAGAGTAGTACAATGTAAGTAGTGCTGTTTGATGTACACAATAATGAATCTTAGAGAGGATGTCTACTGTTTTGGAGATCTTCTTAGTTTGTGCTGGATATGGGTACTAAATTTCAAGTTCCAGTCAAGGTGTAGACCTGAGAATCTACCTTTCAGTGTATCTTAGTCCATGGTGTGGTATGTATGCTCCAGTATGTCATGTAACTTGTCTGACCTTCCTGAATGGCTTTATCCTTAGGAAAACAGTTGATTACTTAACAAGAATTAATGTTTTCTAGTAAAGAATAAACTCTACATTCTTTCCTTTGACTTCTGAGATTTAACCCTTAAGAAAATAGGAAGTAAATTATTACTGTGTATGTTTTGCCTACACTGTTGTCCTACATATGTCTGTAATTATGGAATATAATGATTATAGGTCAGGTAAGATAATTTTATTTTGCAAGTAGATTCATTTGAATTATAATAGGTCTAGATTTAAGTAGTTATTATGTACTATGATTAATCTGCCTGAAATGCTGTGGCATGATAGTGGCTTTCTTTGTACTTAGCAAACCAATATTATAATTGCACATTGTAACCTTTATAAAGAAATAAAATCATCATCATTATTAACAGTAAATTTTTTTTTCAATGAGCCTGCTGTATCCCACCAAGGCAGGGTGATGTTAAAAGAGAAACAAAAGTTTTTCTTTACTAAAATAGTTTTTCTTTACTTAAAAAAAATAGATTTTCTTTTTAAATTTAGTAATTTATATAGGAGAAGGGGTTATTAACCCCTTGCTGTTGGCATTTTGTTGCCTCTTATGACACGCATGGCTTATGGAGGAAGAATTCTGTTCCACTTCCCCATGGGGACTAACAGTAAATCATCTTTCAACAAACTGGCCATTTCCCACTTAGGCAGGGTGGCCCAAAAAGAAACATGAAAGTTTCTCTTTTAAATTTTAGTAGTGTATACAGGAGAAAGGGTTACTAGCCATTTGCTCTCAGCATTTTAGTTGCCTCTTACAACACTCATGGCTTTCAGAGGAAGAATTCTGTTCCACTCACCCATGGAGATAAGAGGGAATAAACAAGAACAAGAACTATTAAGAAAATAGAAGAAAACCTAGAGAAGTGTGTGTATATAGTATATGCTTGTACATGCATGTGTAGTGTGACCTAAGTGTAAGTAGAAGTAGCAAGATGTTCATGAAATCTTGCATGCTTGTGAGACAAAAAAAAACACCAGCAATCCTACCATCATGTAAAACAATTACAGGTTTCCGTTTTACATTCACTTGGCAGGACGGTAGTACCTCCCTGGGTGGTTGCTGTCTACCAACCTACTACCTAGAATTAACATTAAATATATATAAAAAGGAAAAGCTTTTAGTTATGCAGAGCATATCAGACAGAATATTGTAAGCAAGAGTTAGTTCAAGTTAGTTTATCATCTTTATTATGCACCCCATACCCATCCTGTGGGCAGTAGTCAGAAAAGATTACAGAGGTACATAATGGGTCCAGGGACTGGGCCCCAAAGTTTTGATAGCTGAACAAATTACAAAGTTTTGACAGTTGAACAAATTACAAAGGTAATGACCCATTCACACGTCTACACCGAATCAGAGGTACATAATGGGTCCAGGGACTGGGCTGCAAAGTTTTGGTAGCTGAATAAGTTACAAAGGCAATGAACCAGTCACACGTCCACACCTGATCACAGCTGCAATGAGTTATTAATGCAAATATTAGCTTTACAGCGAGCAAAGTCAAGGTATTCTTTCAGAATGGTTTGTGATATACCACTGTGGATAAAATGCTTTTACATATCAAAAGTAAGAGAACTGGGATTTCATTTGTCTGATATGCTATGCACAACTAAAAGCTTTTCCTTTTTGTATATACAGTATATATATTTACTGTTAACCTATTACAATTCAAAGTCATATATTTTTTTTTTCTTTTTTTTTTTTTTTTTACAAGTCGGCCATCTCCCACCGAGGCAGGGTGACCCAAAAAGAAAGAAAATCCCCATAAAGAAAATACTTTCATCATCATTCAGCACTTTCACCTCACTCACATGTAATCACTGTTTTTGCAGAGGTGCTCAGAATACGACAGTTTAGAAGCATATACGTATAAAGATACACATCATATTCCTCTAAACTGCCAATATCCCAAACCCCTCCTTTAAAGTGCTGGCATTGTACTTCACATTTCCAGGACTCAAGTCTGGCTATATAAAAATAACCGGTTTCCCTGAATCCCTTCACTAAATATTACCCTGCTCGCACTCCAACAGCTCATCAGGTCCCAAATACCATTCGTCTCCATTCACTCCTATCTAACACGCTGTAAATCCAAGCCCCTCGCCCACAAAACCTCCTTTACCTCCTCCCTCCAACCTTTTCGAGGATGACCCCTACCCCGCCTTCCTTCCCCTACAGATTTATACGTTCTCCATGTCTTTCTACTTTGATCCATTCTCTCTAAATGACCAAACCACCTCAGCAACCCCTCTTCAGCCCTCTGACTAATACTTTTATTAACTCCAAACCTTCTCCTAATTTCCATACTCCGAATTTTCTGCATAATATTTACACCACACATTGCCCTTAGACAGGACATCTCCACCACCTCCAACCATCTCTTCGCTGCAGCATTTACAACCCAAGCTTCACACCCATATAAGAGTGTTGGTACCACTATACTTTCATTCATTCTCTTCTTTGCCTCCATAGATAACGCTTTTTGTCTCCACATATACCTCAACGCACCACTCACCTTTTTTCCCTCATCAATTCTATGATTAACCTCATCCTTCATAAATCCATCTGCTGACAGGTCAACTCCCAAATATCTGAAAACATTCACTTCTTCCATACTCCTCCTCTCCAATTTGATATCCAATTTTTCTTTATCTAAATCATTTGATACCCTCATCACCTTACTCTTTTCTATGTTCACTTTCAACTTTCTACCTTTACACTCCCAAACTCTTCCACTAACCTTTGCAATTTTTCTTTAGAATCTCCCATAAGCATAGTATCATCAGCAAAAAGTAACTGTGTCAATTCCCATTTTATATTTGATTCCCCATAATTTAATCCCACCCCTCTCCCGAAGACCCTAGCATTTACTTCTTTTACAACCCCATCTGTAAATATATTAAACAACCATGGTGACATTACACATCCCTGTCTAAGACCTACTTTTACCGGGAAGTTGTCTCCCTCTCTTCTACACACCCTAACTTGAGCCTCACTATCCTCATAAAAACTCTTTACAGCATTTAGTAACTTACTACCTATTCCATATATTTGCAACATCTGCCACATTGCTCCCCTATCCACTCTGTCATATGTCTTTTCTAAATCCATAAATGCAATGAAAACTTCCTGCCTTTATCTAAATACTGTTCACATATATGCTTCAATGTAAACACTTGATCTACACATCCCCTACCCACTCTAAAACCTCGTTGCTCATCCGCAATCCTACAGTCTGTCTTACCTCTAATTCTTTCAATAATAACCCTACCGTACACTTTTCCTGGTATACTCAGTAAAGTAATTCCTCTATAATTTTTACAGTCTCTTTTGTCCCCCTTCCCTTTATATAAAGGAACTATACATGCTCTCTGCCAATCCCTAGGTACCTTCCCCTCTTTCATACATTTATTAAACACAAATACCAACCACTCTAACATTATATATCCCCCTGGTTTTAACATTTCTGTCATGATTCCGTCAGTTCCAGCTGCTTTACCTCCTTTCATTCTACGTAATGCCTCATGCACCTCCCCCACACTCACATCCTGCTCTTCTTCACTCCTTAAAGATGGTATACTTCCCTGGCCAGTGCATGAAATTACCGCCTCCGTTTCTTCGTCAAAGTCATATTACTACTTAAGTAAACCATTGGACATTAACACCATACAATATACGCGTATTAAATATACTGTAATTCACATTTTCAGAGAGATGATGCTATACTTCAGAGTAAACTTCCTGACAGTCATGCTGACAAGATGAAGGAGAAAAAGGATGATGTATTTAAGAAGGATGACAAGTGTCTTGCTTCATTGGATGACAACCATTTAGATTGTAATGAGAAAGTGAATGAGAGCAGAAGCAGACCAGATGAAGCATGCTCTAGTAGAGAAGATAACCAGGAGAACAGCCTGAAGGAAGACTATAACGATAGACAGAAGAAGCAAGAGGGGAGACAAGATAATGTATCTGAGGATTGCCATTCCCAAATTTGTCACTCATCAAGAAGTGGCAGGGAACCAAACCAGTATATCTGGTACAAGGACTGGAGAATTTGGGTGCTATTTGTTGTGTTTATTATAATTATGGCATCTGTTGCAATTGGAGTGGCTCTTGGATGTGCTCCTAACATCCTTAATCGTAAGTTATGCCAGAAAGTTTCTCTTTTACAGCTTATAAGCTTTTATGATATTACATTACTGTAATGTACATTGTATTCATTGTGTCAGTCAGAATTCCATTACAATCTGTTTTACCCCATAGGTAGGACCAGCCATGGCTTCAGGGGGCAGTAGGGCAAAATCTGTAACTGTTGTTTACCGTCCGATTTTCTCCAGTTTTGGTACACAAGACAAAGTAGTTTCACTCATTGTTGAAAATATTTATCAAAAATATACCTCAAGCAACAACTGAGAAATGACTGATTTATTGAAAATGCCCTTGTGGCCAAACTTTCTTTTATATGGGACTACATAAGGTTGTTTGGACACTTGGTGCCGAGAGAACAATGCTTATACTAATTATCGTTGAGTCCTTTTCTCTAAATAAACTTATCTTTATTTCACAAAAAATAAAGTTTGTTAGTTCCTGGAATATTGCAAAAAAAATCTGCCCTTTACTCCCACATAACTCCCAAAGTATTTGGAATATTTCCAAAATTTGGTCAGCGAAAAATGGAGAAATCATTATTCTACAACTTTTGTGAGTATTATATTCCATTTAATTCAGTAATAAAGCGAGAAGCTTGGCCATTAGGTGAATAAGTTACTTCCGAGATATCGGCCGGGAGCGCCGGCCGGCCCGTCTCAAAAAAAAAAAAAAAAAAAATCGCGAAAATCGCGTTTGTTTGGGTGTATTTCTTAGTAAACTGATGTTCTAGTGCAGTTAGCCTCTTCAAAACACCGTTTTCTCTTACTCGCAGACTAAAGAATACGACCTGGAGAGGAGTAGCTCAATATTTATCAAAATATTCCCGATAATCTTTCGTCATATTATGGCCTATTTTATTCAGTCTAGAGTATATAACATGTTTGTATGTTATTTATAGTGTTTATTATATCATATTAGATCAATTCTGATAGAAAAATAAGCTGTAGAGTTGATATATAAGCTGATATAAGCGTAATAATGAGTGATTTCTCCTGGCGCGGCAACCCTTCCGCGCATCATATGATTAATGACTGTTGCTAAATCTAGGGATAAGCTCCGCCTTCAGTTTTATGATGCCAAGTAGTCAGTTATTATATTAGAAAGTATAATGCAAGAAAAAGCGATAAAAAACAAGGAAAAATTTCCAAAATATATATGGGCCGTGAGCAGACTCGCTACCAACATCGCCGTCACCATACCTGATATAAATGGCTATAATTTCTTGTAGAAACGTCGTAGAACATTCATTCTGGTACCATTGTGTTGCCAAAGAGTTGAGCTATTTTTCAGTATATATAACTCAATTTCCATATTTTTTCGATTTTTCGGTGAGCGCGCGCGGAAATTTGCCCTACTGCCCCCTTCAGCCATCCCAGCTTACCATCAACCTGCTTTCAGCATCTTGGTTGTAACTCCATACACTCTTCCTTACTTTTTTCCAGTTTTAGCTATCCTCATCACTTACTCCCTAAACACTGCTGGTTCTTCACTAGATCATCACTCACTCCTTTAACATACATTAAACATTTGCACTCCTTAATCAATACTCCCTCCCTTATTTGTCAGATAGTTACAAGAGAAGGATTCCAACCAGTTTTTATCACAAGTTCCAAAAGAAAAGAGGTAGAAAATGAAGATTGGTACAGGTCTGAGAAAGTTATTCCAAGAACATTCAATAAAGTAAAAATGTTGAGTGTATAATGAATGTAGATGTAAGAAAGTCAAAATTAGCTTATTAGCTTTATGTCTTGGTGCATATTCTTGAAACTATAAAAACTGTCTTGTATTTTATTGGATTTTATTCATATGGCATAAAGAACAAGACTTCAACACGTGAGACATAGCAAAACTGCATTTATCAAGTCTTAATGGGGTACCATAAAATAGGAAATTTTTAATATTTATTACTGGATTCTAAGGATTGAATTATACCATCCAGGTATTAAATTATTTGTATCATTGCTTATTAATAAACAGGAAAAATTACATATTTTTTATGCCTTTGTGCTCATCTTTCTTTCCACATAATTGTTGCTACGGTCACAGAAATGGGGTTCACATCTACTGGAGTTGCTAGGAAAAGCTATGCTTCCACATTAATGTCCTCCGCTGCCCGCAGTAACAATGGAACCATCCCTGCAGATAGCTGGGTAAGTTGCTATGTTTCCTCTTACTTGATAATGGTTCACTAAAATAACCTACACATCTACTACTACTTCCACTACCAGCATTACCTCTACCACTACTATTCCACTTCCTTCTCTCTTCCTCTCTTTGTCCTGTCCTTGTTCCCCCTCTCCTATATACTGGCTCTCTCACTCTCATGTATTAGTGTGACTTGTAAATGGTCCAAGTCAGACTGAAACATTATTATAAGCTTCTCTCTCCTGTGTGCAGGTTATTTGTGAGTTGTTCCAGTCATGGTATTGTGCCATTTTCCTCTTTTTGGTAATGGTTATCTGTCCCACTTGTCTTGGATCTCTTTGGGCACAACTGATTTAATTCACTGGCATCAATTATGCATATATATACAAACCAACTGCCCTTTTTTTTTTTTTTTTGACATTTTCACATTAAGAAGATAAAGTAAAAGTATATACCGTATGCTATATGAAATGCCCGAGTCTTTCTTTTGTACCACCCTTCTATATTTTTTTCTTCATGTATCCTTAATTGACCTAAATTAAGAGAGCTTTATTGTATACTGCTTATTCAGTTTAAGGCTATCCACTTTATTAGTGATAGTATTTACCCTCTTTTAAGGTTACTGTTTTCTTATGAAACTTATTCAGGGTTTCTCACTTATTTTCTTTGTTGTTTTACTTTTTTTTAAATTATACAGAAGAACAGGGTTAAGTCTGAATGAGCTGGGGCTGCGTGCACTTTAGTGTATGGAAGGCAAGTCATATTAAGAACTGTAATATAGTGTAATTTTTATTTAACAGCCCAATAGGGGAGAAAACTTTATTCATTAATGCTGATTGTTTGTTAAATCCACGATCATAAGAGTAATGGATAATTTTGGATTTAACAAATTGTCTACTAAACCAGAAATTAATTTGTCCAGTACACTGTATCAGTAATGGACAGTTCTAGATTTAAATCTTTGTCCATTAAATCCAAAACCAGTTTATGCCGTGGACCTTAAAATAACTTAGTTTTAGATTTATGGACTTTGTCCTTTGTTTGCAAATGTTTTCCAGTCACAGATTTTATCCCATAAATTTAGGTGTAGTGTATTGATATTGCAATTTGGAGGGTTATTTGAATTGTAATATTAGTGAACTTCTGGCAGTGCAGCTATTGAATGACTTATACTGAGTGTGTTTTTTTCTTCAGGTCACCTTAGTGGAAAACAGCCAGTGTGGTAAAAGCAACAATAGTAACATTTGACATGTATGTATAGCTTAATTATATTTGGGTTTTGTCATAATTCTAGCCATCATTCACTTATTTTCTCATTGTTTACAGGTCTCATGGCTACAGAATGCTGGTCACAAGGGTTTTAGTTCCAAGGCTAAGGCTCTCATAGCATTGGTTAGTGGACTGGTTGGAGCTGGGGTTGCAGCTGTGTTGTTTGGAGCTATGGTTAGCATATGTCTATTAGTACATCATTGTAGAACCAGGAAATACAAGGATCATTTGTTGGTTGATGATTTGCCACTAATGAGTGTTGAACACTGAAGTAACTCTAGGAAAAACAAGAAAAGCATCAGAAATGTAGAAAAACTGCATGTATAACTGGTGGGTAGCTAACTCTTTTACCTTTTCCGTATGCGAAATAACTGAATAAATTTCTGTTTGTTAATGACTAAGTGTAAGGAACTGCCATACATACTTACCTATGGGTATTTTATTTGTGCAGTTTTAGAAAATGGTATCCAAAGATATATGTTTTAGACAATAGTATCCAAAGATATTTGTTTTTTTTAACATGTTGGCTGTCTCCTACCAAGGCAGGGTGACCCAAAAAAATGAAAGAAACATTTTCACCATCATTCAACACTTTCACCATCATTCACACATAATCACTGTATTTGCAGAGGTGCTCAAATACGACAGTTTAGATGTCATTCCAAACAGCAAATATCCCAAACCCCTCCTTTAATTAAAGTGCAGGCATTGTACTTCCCACCTTCAGGACTCAAGTCTGGCTAACTGGTTTCCCTGAAACCCTTCACAAAATATTATCCTGCTCACACTACAACAGCTCATCAGGTCCCAAAAACCATTTGTCTCCATTCACTCTATCTAACATGCTCACACACATATATATGTATTTTAGAAAATGTTATCCAGAGGTATGTGTGGTGTGAATATTATGCAGAGAATTCATAGCTTGGAGATGAGAAGGAGGTGTGGGATTACTAAAAGTATAATCCAGAGCACTGAAGAGGGGTTATTGAGGTGGTTCAGACATTTAGAGAGGATGGAGAGCATATAAATCTGTAATGGAGGGAAGGTGAGCTAGAGGTCATCCTAGGAAAGGTTGGAGGAAGGGGGTAAAGGAGGTTTTCAATATGAGAGGCTTATAAATCCAGCAAGTGTGTTAGATAGGAATGAGTGAAGGCAAGTGGTTTTTATGACTTGACATGTTAGTGTGAGCAAGGTAACATTTTTGAAGGGATTCAGGGAAACCGGTTTGCTGGACTTGAGTCCTGGAGGTGGAAAGTACAGTGGCGGCACTCTGAAGGAGAGGTGGGGATACTTGCAGCTTTGAACTGTAGTATTGGTCCCCCTTTGGCAAGACAGTGATGGTGACAGTGTTTCTTCTTTTTTTGGGTCACCCTGCCTTAGTGGGAGATGGTCAATGTGTTAACCCTTAAACTGTCCAAACGTAGATCTACGTTTTTTCAACATTTGAAAGTATGTAAAAAACGTAGATTTTTTTTTTTTACATTTGAAAACGTGTAAAAAAAACTGATCTACGTTTTTTTTTTTTTTTTGTTATATTTGAAAATATGTAAAAAACCGAAGATCTACTTTTGGAGCACTACGAATGTGAACGTAAATCTGTTTGGACAGTTTAAGGGTTAAAAAAAATTGAATGTAAGTGATTTTCAATATTGAATTTTGGTAATTATTATGCTTGTTTGGGTAATGAAATTTTAAAATTACATAGTTTTAATCAAAATTTTATTTTCAAATTTTTGAGAATTCTGAATAATAATTATTGAAAATAAGAGTTATTACTATTATATATTGCAGTATTTACATAGGGTTTAATATATTTCAGTGCATTGTAATGGTAAAGAAAAGGTTAAACTCTTCATTATTTTGTCTTTGTATAAGTCAGATGTCAGAAGTAAATTATAACTGCGCAGTGATATAAATCAAATAGTATTCACATTGTGCATCTGCATTTAGCTTACCACTAACCATTACATAGTTGCTGAGACATTCTGTGATAGTTATATGGGTCACACTACAATTTGGGCTCCTACACATAATTTTATAACCAGTCTGCTCTTTCTTGGATGGGAGAATTGTCTTGATGCTGGTGAAGGGCTCTTGATCCAAGGATACTTCAAGGTTAGTGCCTTAATGCTGGTGAAGGGTTCTTAATTAAGGACATATTGAATATGTAAGTATTCTGGTTTGAATATCTCTTCCCCATATACAGGTACAAGATCGATTTTCCAGACCATTGGTTCCAAAGCCTTTCTGGATTACTGATTTTTCCACCTTTAGAGAGCACAGTATTCCATGGTCTTAGGGTTGGATAAGTGACGTACAGTTTGGTGGTTAATACACTGCTGCGGGAATTTCAAGTTCCTGCTTGTAAATTTGTATGGGTTCAGACCATCGCTGTCCAGAAAATCGATGTTTTACCTGTACTAGATGTGGCCAAGCCATGGCTTGCAACTCAGTGAAAAGACACAAATGCAGTGGTATTTTTTGTACAGTATTTCACCCCATATTAGGCTTTATCGTGTGTTTGGATGAAGAACTTATAAAACCCCATGTTGGGTACAGTGCTGTACAGATGCAGAACATAACTTAATTTGTGCCTATTTCACCAACTGTTTGCATCTTGCCATTGTTAAGTACAGGTTTATAGATATTTCTTGGTGCAAAAACAATTCTTTCTCCCATTACACCCATGCTTCTGACCATTTATGTTTTCATTATATTCTCTTTTGCTTCCATTTTCCTCTCACCATGTATTCTCTGAATCCTCTCTACTCAACTTACATTAAGAAAAGTTGAACAAAGTCTTGATTTTTCAGTGCTATGTATTGTTTATGAGGCGTGAAGATGTTATTAGATTAACATAATTTCCTTTTCCAGTGACTCCCTTTTATGTACTGTTATTGAAAAAGATCCATTTAATTGCTGTACATATTATCTTACAATACACTTTGGTTAGGGTACCTCATCAAGTCACACTTCCTAACCACACCAGGGTACTGTATACCTATATTACAGTATTGCATCTAATCAGATTATTTCTGATATTTCCTCCACTGCCAGTTTATCATATTTCTGTTTGTTTTGGTTTCCTTATTTTTTTTTTTTTTTCTCAACAAGTCGGCCGTCTCCCACCGAGGCAGGGTGACCCAAAAAAGAAAGAAAATCCCCAAAAAGAAAATACTTTCATCATCATTCAACACTTTCACCACACTCACCCATTATCACTGTTTTTGCAGAGGTGCTCAGAATATAACAGTTTAGAAGCATACACATATAAAGATACACAACATATCCCTCCAAACTGCCAATATCCCAAACCCCTCCTTTAAAGTGCAGGCATTGTGCTTCCCATTTCCAGGACTCAAGTCTGACTATATGAAAATAACCGGTTTCCCTGAATCCCTTCATTAAATATTACCCTGCTCACACTCCAACAGATCGTCAGGTCCCAAGTACCATTCGTCTCCATTCACTCCTATCTAACACGCTCACGCATGCTTGCTGGAAGTCCAAGCCCCTTGCCCACAAAACCTCCTTTACCCCCTCTCTCCAACCCTTTCTGTATTATTTATTTATAGCACTTCCCTCACCTTGAAGCCTCTAGTGTCCTTTGTTTATAAATTGTTTTCTCATGTTCAGTCAATAGCTAACTGTCTCCTCCCTATTCTAGCTTGTACTTTATGTACCAGTATTTTGAGATGGAATCAGGAATATACGAGGTGCTGTCAAAAAGTTCCTGGACTACCACGAAAAAATGTGGTACACTGATCCCAGTGCCTCTGGCACTTCTCAAAATATTTTTGGAACTCTTCTTTCCTAACAGTGTCTAGCACAGCCTGTGATTTTGTTTCACTCTACTCCATGTCATTAAAATGCTGCCCCTCGAGTGCCATTTTTTGGGGGGGAGGAAGAGAAAAGTCACAGGGGGAGTAAGATCTGGGAAAGTAGAGTAGGTGGGAGATGACTGCTGTGTTGCTTTTGGTCAGAAAACTCTGCATGGAATGTACAGAGTGAACGGGCACTGTCATGGTGAATGAAGCAGTTGTTGGATGCCCACAACACCTAATATTTCCTTCTCATGTCTTCCCTCGTACGTTTCAGAACTTTGATGTAAAAATTTTGGGTAACTCCAAGAAGCCCCTATCACGTGCTTTTACCATCCTATGGAGAGGGAGCATGGACACGGGGGTCGTCCCACAGTTACTAAAAACAACAGGCAGCCCCACTCCACAAAGGGGGCAGTAAAGCAATAGCAAAGAACTACAGACCGATAGCACTAACATCCCATATCATAAAAATCTTTGAAAGAGTTCTAAGAAGCAAGATCGCCACCCATCTAGATACCCTTCAATTACACAACCCAGGGCAACATGGGTTTAGAGCAGGTCGCTCCTGTCTGTCCCAACTACTGGATCACTACGACATGGTCTTAGATGCACTAGAAGACAAAAAGAATGCAGATGTAATATATACAGACTTTGCAAAAGCCTTCGACAAGTGTGACCATGTCGTAATAGCGCACAAAATGCGTGCTAAAGGAATAACAGGAAAAGTTGGTAAATGGATCTATAATTTCCTCATAAACAGAACACAAAGAGTAGTAGTCAACAGAGTAAAGTCTGAGGCGGCTATGGTGAAAAGCTCTGTTCCACAAGGCACAGTACTCGCTCCCCTCTTGTTTCTCATCCTCATATCTGACATAGACAAGGATGTCAGCCACAGCACCGTGTCTTCCTTTGCAGATGACACCCGAATCTGCATGACAGTGTCCTCCAATGCAGACACTGCAAGGTTCCAGGTGGACATCAACCAAATCTTTCAATGGGCTGCAGAAACAATATGAAGTTCAACGATGAGAAATTTCAATTACTCCGATATGGTAAACATGAGGAAATTAAAACTTCATCAGAGTACAAAACAAATTCCGGCCACAAAATAGAGCGAAAAACCAATGTCAAAGTCCTGGGAGTGATCATGTCGGAGGATCTTACCTTCAATGACCATAACATTGTATCGATCGCATCTGCTAGAAAAATGACAGGATGGACAATGAGAACCTTCAAAACTAGGGATGCCAAGCCCATGATGACACTCTTCAGGTCGCTTGTTCTATCTAGGCTGGAATATTGCTGCACACTAACAGCACCTTTCAAGGCAGGTGAAATTGCTGACCTAGAAAATGTACAGAGAACCTTCATGGCACGCAATAACGGAGATAAAACACCTCAATTACTGGGAGCGCTTGAAGTTTTTGAACCTGTACTCCCTGGGGGTGTTACCCCCCGGAACTCTCCCCAGGTAATCTCCAGGTAAACTGTGTTAGAACAGATTCCTGATGAACAATTCCCACTCAAAGATTTCATTCTGATACACAAAAAATTGCAACAATGCACTAAAAACATGACAGAAAATGCTCATCTGACTGCAGTGGAATGACCAACCGCACTGAAACTCGCCACGCTACTTCATAAATAGTATACTGCACAGCACAATCTATGCTTATGCTGTATTTCAACTAGGAGGAGCATGAACATTTGAGTCAGAATCTTTCTGCGAGCACCTCGTATCTTAACTGTTTGAGAGAAGATGCTTGTCTTTAGATGATCAGTATTACCAGCTCCAGATTCCAACATTCTTTCCTCATCTTCAGTATCTAGTGTCACAACTATTATACTGGTATTTAACAAATAATTAAGATCGTTTATAATTGTATTGTATTGCTGCTTTGTTTGGTGCACAAGTAGAAGACCAGTTACTGCTTTGTACTGTCCTTGTCCTGTAATGGCAGAGAGTTTGTGCCAACCATTTTTGATATTGTTTTAATGTCACCTTTGCACCATTTATAACATTTTTAGTATATTTTTAAATGTTTATACAGTAGTGTACTGTATATTGTAATAAACAGACTAGAGGAAATCAGCTCTAATATACATTATTTAGGTATGCATACTGATCGGAGAGCCTGTCGTAAGTCCAAGTCGTCGGTAAACGAGTATGTTGCTAAGTGATGAGAGACTATACGTACATAAATGGCTGAAAGCTACTAACAGGAGACCATACATAGTTTTAAGTTAGTGTAAAGAGAAACATGCACGGAAGTTCCATATCAGTAGAAAAATACGTTTATTTTACAAGAAGATACAGGTGCGCTGCAGAGATTGCTTACATTGGTTGTGTAATACATGGCAATGCCCTTGGTTGTGCAATGAATTTTGGGCAAACTTAAAATTAAAACCTGACATTGAATATTTAAAGGATTATGTGAATACCAAGTTCACCATAATTAAGTTTTATGTTTAATTCACATTAAGCACTAAACCCATGTGGGTCATTCAGTGTAAGACATGGTGGAGGTTTCATCTTCCATCTAATGAGTATGAGACAGACACACTTCCTATTTGTATTCACATATAAGTGAATTAAGTTATCGTATACAATGATTATTATGTAATAAAGTAACAATGTTAATATGAAGGAACAGTAACACAAAACAGCATTGAGAGCTGTAGCCATAAAATTTTTTGAGGGGCTAGGAATTAAAGTAAGAGACAAAAATGGTGAATGAATAGAGACCCCCTATGTGATTATATTTTTGAAAACTCACGAATGTTCTGTATGTTATTTTGTTGCTCGATTTGACAGTGACTGTAATGTATTATCAGATTTAATGTTGATGGTTACTTCTCACGTGATTATTTTTTTTGTTACCTGGTATGTATTTGTAGCTACAGGAGCTTGTGCTGTCTTCAGTACTTAATCTATCATTAAGTTTTTGTAGCAGGGATTATTGCACTTTCTACCTTTTGTATACCATATAGACTAATGTTGTATATACAGTGGACCCCAGAGTTTCATGATTAATCCGTTCCAGAGAGCCTGCCGAAAGTCGAAATTCACGAAACTCGAAACCATTTTCCCCATAAGAAATAATGGAAATAAAATTAATCCGTTCCAGACACCCAAAAATATTAAAATAAAATATTTCTTTTCAAATTAAATAAAGATTTATATACTGAAATCAACGAGAAATCAAGTACAGGTCTCCCTCAACATTCACGTTTTCAGCTTTCGCGGGCTTCACACATTCGCGAATTCCCAACCGCCAAATTCCCAACCGCCAAATTCCCAGCCGCCAAATCATATTCAAGTTTCCCGCCACCTGCGAGTCCCTACTACCCTCCCTCCTACCCCCGCAACTGGCAGCCAGCCCTCCCACCACTCAGTGTGGTGAGTGTTTTGTTTGTTCATTATTTGCTATTAAACTGCAGTATAAATAATGTAAACCCATTCATGACTGCATATTGGAATGGTTATTCGGACAGGTATTAGACGGTGACATGTGTTTACTCTTGAACACAGCAAAGAATCAAACATTTCTGCTACTGCTAATAATAACAATAGTAATAATAATAATAATAATAATAAATACGATATAATTGAAGAAGGAAGTTGTACAAAAATACGAGGGAGTGGTTGACACATCGTCAGTGTGGCTTTGTTTATGCTGGAGTGAGCATTAGTCTCCCTGCTCTTCCAAATATTTCACAATAATTCATTGTGTTTGGTACTTGTAGATTGAGTGCGACTGGAGTGGTAGAGGCAGCTGTTGAGGCAGCTGTTGAGGCAGCTGTTGAGGCAGCGATTGAGGCAGCTGTTGAGGCAGCGATTGTGGCAGTGGGTGAGGCAGCGATTGTGGCAGTGGGTGAGGCAGCTGTTGAGGCAGTGGTTGAGGCAGCTATTGAGGCAGCTGTTGAGGCAGCGATTGAGGCAGTGGTTGAGGCAGCTATTGAGGCAGTGGGTGAGGCAGCTGTTGAGGCAGCGATTGAGGCAGTGGGTGAGGCAGCTATTGAGGCAGTGGGTGAGGCAGCTGTTGAGGCAGCGATTGAGGCAGTGGTTGAGGCAGCTATTGAGGTAGTGGGTGAGGCAGCTGTTGAGGCAGCGATTGAGGCAGTGGGTGAGGCAGCTATTGAGGCAGTGGGTGAGGCAGCTGTTGAGGCAGCGATTGAGGCAGTGGGTGAGGCAGCTGTTGAGGCAGTGCATGAGGCAGTGCATGAGGCAGTGCATGAGGCAGCTGTTGAGGCAGCGATTGAGGCAGCTGTTGAGGCAGAGATTGAGGCAGCTGTTGAGGCAGCGATTGAGGCAGTGGGTGAGGCAGTGCATGAGGCAGCTGTTGAGGCAGCAATTGAGGCAGCTGTTGAGGCAGCGATTGAGGCAGTGGTCACTGAGGCAGCTGTTGAGGCAGCGATTGAGGCAGTGGGTGAGGCAGCTGTTGAGGAAGCGATTGAGGCAGCTGTTGAGGCAGCTGTTGAGGCAGCTGTTGAGGCAGCGATTGAGGCAGTGGGTGAGGCAGCTGTTGAAAAACAAATAAGCTCGCTCGCTGTAATGGTGGCCGCGGCGGTGGCGGCGGCTGCAGTGGCGGGCGCGCCCGCGGCAGCTGCTGCGACGAGTCTAAGAGTAAAAAAAAAAATCCGAAACAGAAAATAATAATAGGCAATAATAAACTCCCGCCGGAAATACTTTTATCTTTAATATCAAGAAAAAACATTGAGGAAGCGATTGAGGCAGCTGTTGAGGCAGCTGTTGAGGCAACTGTTGAAGCAGCGACTGAGGCAGTGGGTGAGGCAGCTGGTGAGGAAGCGATTGAGGCAGTGGTATTTAATAACATACATGTTTAATAACATACATTGTGTTTAGTGCTTGTAGATTGAGTGTGACTGGAGTGGTAGAGGCAGTGATTGAGGCAATGGTATTTAACCCTTTGAGGGTTTTCGTCGTACTAGTACGTCTTACGCGTAGGGGTTTTTGACGTACTAGTACTCATAAATTCTAGCGGCCTCAAATCTAGTGGGAGAAAGCTGGTAGGCCTTCATATGAAAGAATGGGTCTATGTGGTCAGTGTGCACAGTCTAAAAAAATCCTGCAGCACACAGTGCATAATGAGAAAAAAAAAACTTTGACCATTTTTTTTTAATAAATCAGCGACTTTGCAGTGTATTTTCGTATGGTATTTATTGTTGTATTCTAGTTTTCTTGGTCTCATTTTATAGAATGGAAGACATATTACAGAAATTGAGATGATTTTGACTGGTTTTACAAAGAAAGGTGCCTTGAAATTGAGCTCAAAGTAGCAGAAATGTTCGATTTTACCAAACTTCAAAAGTAAACAAATCGTGCCAAGCGTGCAATACACGTCAACTGGTGAGTCTAATATTCTTTCACAAGTGCACCAATAATATTTATACCATTTTTTACACTAATGCAGTAGTCTGCATAACAGTAAATCTTATATTTTTTGTGAAAATAAAAATTCAAAGTAGAAAGCAAAAGAATATAAGAGGGGCCTTGAGACGTGACTAATGACTAGAGGAAATGTCATTTTAGTGCCAGGAATGTCTTTCTTGTTTATTCTGGACCCTATTCGGAAATTGGCATCTTTTGAAATTTGTGTGAAATTGGCAAAATTGCTAAATTCTGACCACTGTACTGGATAGTTGAATTTCATAAATGAGTGGTTTCTTGCACCCATTCGATAGAAAAATGGAGTTCTAGCGAAATATTCATGTTTTTTGTCGACTAGTACAGTGAAATTGGCCGAAAATGGGGCTCAAAGTGGGCAAAATCGCCGATCCGTAAACATTGCCGAGACCGCTAACTTTGCGAGAGCATAATTCCGTAAGTTTTCTATCAAATTTCAAACTTTTGGTGTCTTTATGATCGGGAAAAGATTCTCTATCTTTTCATAAGAGAAAATAATTTTTTTTTTTTTAAATTTGGCCGACCCTGAGAACGAGTTTCGGAGAGGGCCTGTCGACCCTCAAAGGGTTAATAACATACATGTTAATAATAATACATGTTATTAATAATATGTACTATTATTATTTATAACATATATGTTATTAAATACATACGTTAATAATAATACATGTTATTAATAATAACATGTACGTACTATTATTATTTATAACATATATGTTATTAAATACCACTGCCTCAACCGCTGAATTATTGTGAAATGTTTGGAAGAGCAGGGAGACTAATGTTCACTCCAGCATAAACAAAGTCACACTGACGATGTGTCAACCACTCCCTCGTATTTTTGTACAATTTCCTTCTTCAATTATATCGTATTATTATTATTATTATTATATTATTATTATTATTATTATTATTATTATTATTATTATTATTATTACTATTGTTATTATTAGCAGTAGCAGAAATGTTTGATTCTTTGCTGTGTTCAAGACTAAACACATGATGTCACCGTCCAATACCTGTCCGAATAGCCATTCCAATATGCAGTCATGAATGGGTTTACATTATTTATACTGTAGTTTAATAGCAAATAATGAACAAACAAAACACTCACCACACTGAGTGGTGGGAGGGCTGGCTGCCAGTTGCGGGGGTCGGAGGGAGGGTAGTAGGGACTCGCAGTGGTTGGGGAAGTGGTGGAGGCATTGGTGGAGTCTGTGGTATTTAATAACATACATGTTATTAAAGCATAACATGTATATATTTAGTACAATTTACAACATTTTCATGTATTTTATGATTGTTCATGGTTCAACAAGTTAAGGAAGCAGTATTGTATTATATTTCCCTACAATATATTGGGGCACCAAACATTCACGGTTTTTCAACATTCGCGAGGATCTTGATCCCCTAACCCTCGCGAATGTTGAGGGAGACCTGTACATTCATATAAAAAATAATAATAACATTACACTTACATTACACCCTGCCTCGGTGGGAGACGGCCGACTTGTTGAAAAAAGAAAAAAAAAATTACACTTACCTTTACTGAAGACTTCTGGGTGGATGGAAGATGGGAGGAAGGGATAGGAGGAAGGTGTACACTCTTGTTTGGAAGGAGAATCTCCTTCCATTAGGACTTTAGGTAGCAAGTCCTTATCTGGGGGTTACTTCCCTTCTTCTTTTAATGCCACTGGGAACAACTTGAGAGTCACTGGACCCCTGTCGCATAAAATATCTGTCCAGAGAGGTCTTTTTCTGGTGTTTCTTTAAGATTTCCCTGAAGTGGGACACAACACTGTCATTGTACATGTTGCAGATATGACTTGTTTCAGCTTGTTCAGGGTGATACTTTTCAACAAAACTTTGCAACTCATTCCACATTCCACACATGTCCTTAACCCTTAAATGGTCCAAACGTATATATACGTTCACTCGCGTAGCGCCCCAACTTTTTTGAGGAAAAAACAATCTCTTCTTTTAAAAGGAAAAAAGAGCATATGGTACCCAGGCATCCCCAATTATTTTAATATGGCACACAGTGAGTGCACACACCCGTTCTCTCATGTCTAGGTGACTCAGGCTTAATGTGGCAATGTTGAATGAATGACAAAGAAAACGTATATATAAGTTTGGGGGCACTACGCGCGTGGACGTATATATACGTTTGGACCGTTTAAGGGTTAATCACTGAAGAAGGAACCTCCTTCACTCTCTTTTCCTCCTCCTCTGAAACAAGTTCCTTGGCTGTGGTCTGATGCTGTTCCAGTTGAAGCTCTTGCAGTTCGTCAGTGGTTAGCTCTTCCCTGTGGTCCTCCACCAACTCTTCCACATCCCCGTCACTCGCCTCCAACCCCATGGACTTGCCCAATGCCACAACACCTTCCACAACAGGCAGAGGGTCGGCAGGAACAGGGTCTGCCTCAAACCCTTCAAAATCCCTCTGGATCGTGTTCCTCACTTTATTTACCAAAGGGCTTGCACTAGCTTTCCTTGGGTCCATGATGACTTATTTAGCAGTTGCAAGCACAAAAAACAATGGATTATTATGAAATGTAGTGTATGAATCCGCGGGGTGATGGTCACGTGTTGGTAAACAATGGCACACTGAGCGTGAATAGCGTAGGAGACTGGCTCGGTGTGCGTGGTGATGGGCAGACAGGTACCGGACGGTCGCCGAAACTCGAGGCCAAATTTTGCAAAAAAAACTCGCCAAAGGTCGAATTTCACGAAAGTAGATGCTGCCAAAACTCAAGGGTCCACTGTACACCTATAAAGTCCTATGTTCTGTGTAGTACTGTAGATTATAATATGTAAATATATTTGTAATTCTATGAGCAAGGGGCTAGGAACCCTTTCTACTGTATAAATTACTAAATGTCAAAAGTAAGAGTAAACTTTATTTCTTCTTTGGGTCACCCTACCTCAGTTGGAGATAGCCGTTGTGTTAAAAAAATGTAATTATATTTTGCTAACACACTGCTGTTACCATGTTCCCTATGTAACTACATCTGTTTTTGCAACTACCTCCTAACTTTTGGTTGACTGATGTAACAAAGCATCCTCAGATCCATTTTAGCACCCTTTATAAGGTCAGCTTGTATTATCTTACAGCACAAATTATACTATTTCTTCACCACTTCACCTGTATAAGTTTTGGGTTTAGTGCCTATCTTGATTATAACGGTAATTCACTACTTAAATTGAAGAAATGTCTTTGTATATTTCTGTCTTTGTTTTGGTGAGGGGTGTGTGGTTTCCATCCAGGTCCTCATGTTCTACTGTAGTGAGTTCACTGGCAAATGCTGTATCCATATCCTGCCTATGAACATGAGAACATAAGAAAGGAAGAACACTGCAGCAGGGCTACTGGCTCATACTAGGCAGGTCATTCTTAAACCCAAACCCACAGACAAAAATATTTGCCCAACCAAATATTCTTTTCTTTCTTATGGAGATAGGAGGGCTAGCGCTCATTCTTTCTTCATAGCTCATTTCCCTCAGTTGGGATGCTCTTCTCTGGTAATTCTCAAGTGTTGCCATGTGTTTGACTTGGAAAGGATTCCATCCTGTGTTTCATATTTAAGAAATGAGGAAAAGTGTCTCTTTAAGACATCTTTAACAAGGTTTCTTCATGAGGTCTTTCAGCTCTTTCTCACACCACAAGAGATATTCATAAGGATTTTAGCATATCCTGTGTATTTTCAGAGCCTTATTGCTTGATGAGTTTGCAATTCACTTTTTTTATTTAATTTGTCTTTTTGGTTAGATATACATTTTATAGGTTTATATAACCTAATGTAACCTGACTTAATATATAGAAAGTTCCTTTTGTATATCTGCAGGCATCATTAAGAAAGTGACATTGGGAACTCTGTAAGAAGATTAATGTAGTAAAATGCTGATAGGCTGTGTTCTGATAAAGTATATGTGAGCTTGGCATGTGTGATCCAAGGAAATGGATAGGTGCTCCCCTTCCTTAGATTGAATCTAAATGCTTCTCATTCCCACCAGGTGCTGTATGACCCCTACCAGTTTAGCGCTTTCCCTATGAATGTAGTGATGAATGGTTTGAAAAACCGACAAGTTGAAGATTGAGACTTATGCAGCATATGAGAATCTTTATTCAGGAAACGTTTCGCCACACAGTGGCTTCATCAGTCCAATACAAAAAGGAAGGCGTAAGGAGAGGAGGAGTATGAGGTAATCAGTCCCTCAGCCTGGAGTTGATGTGTTCAGTCCATCAATCTTGTAGAATGTAATAATAATAATAGCAACCACCCAGGGAGGTACTACCATCCTGCCAAATGAGTGTAAAACGAAAGTCTGTAATTGTTTTACATGGTGGTAGGATTGCTGATCTCTTTTGTCTGTCTCATAAATATGCAAGATTACAGGTACGTCTTGCTATTTCTGCTTACACTTAGGTGACACTACACATACATGTACACGTTTATTTATACACATTCATCTGAGTTTTCTTTGATTTTATCTTAATAGTTCTTGTTTCTTATTACTTTTCCTTTTATATCCATGCGTGTTGTAAAAGTCAACTAAAATGCCAGGAACAGTGGGCTAGTAACCCCTTTTCCTGTAATAATTACTAAAAAGAATAAGAAGAAGAAAATTGTCAAAGTGGGATGT